AACAGGTCCTTTTTAAGAAAATTCTGCCCTGGTTTAGTGGTGCTCCATGGTAGAAGCCGGTGACCCTGCTCCACTGTGTAAATAATGACAGAGCTGCATGTTAAATTGAATGAGTGGATAGTGGTGAGGGTGTGAGGAGGAACTTGTTATGAGTAGAGTGCCGATCCTGCTTCGCAATTAGAGAATCTGAGCTTGTAGGTTTTCCAGAAATAAATGATAAATAAAGACAGAAACCATCTCTAAACCAATACAGGTTGTATATTGGGTCCAGCTTAATGTGTTTGTTGATGGAGTTCCGGTTGGAATGCCAGGCCTCCAGGAATTCCCTGGCATGTCTCTGTTTGGCTTGTACTATTATGGGTGTGTTGTCCCAATCAAGTTCGAGACTTGCCAGGGAATTCCTGGAGGCCTGGCATTCCAACCGGAACTCCATCAACAAACACATTGAACTGGGCCCAATATCAAACCACTGAGAAACAGACCCGGAAATAATACCAACCACCCCAGCATATAAATAACAAACAGGACAGAACACCAATGCTTCAACGGAGGCGCACTGATGATGTTAGCTAGCAAGGTGACTAAACGTCTGCATTTAAACACACTGGCTCGGCGAGCAAGTCTACAACCTCATCCACAACCCAAGCTACAAATCTTCTCAAAAACTTTAAACAGTTTATCCCCTTTGATTTCCTTATGGAAATATAGAAAGGAACCACTAGTTGATTGTTTCTGTTTATTTTGAAATGTATATAAATGAAGAGACCCCTTGGCTTGGAATAAACTACTGACACAAATGGGCAAAAACACAGCCTCAAGTTTCTGTAATAAAGTGTTTAATTTAATGTGTATAAGACAGACATAAAATAAAGTGTATTAGAATGTTTTTGGTGCAGAACTGGGATTATGCTGAAATCTTGTAGATGTTAACAAGTTGCATATTCCTTTTCTTTGGTTTTGAAGAAGAATTACATCAGACTCGAAATATTAACTCTGTTTCTCTCTTCACAGTTCCTCCAGCACTTTCTGTTTTATATTTTATTGTACAGTATAGTTCTTTAACTGGCAGTGTATCAGCAAATCTTTTGTATCGTAATGTCATTTCATGAATTGTAGCTTCTTTTACAGCGAATGAACGCATTTACTTTGAACAAAGCCTCCCTATGGTGTTTAAGTGCCAAAGAACAAGACAATATATCCATAAGACATAACAAGACATAATCCATTTGTGTCATTTAAAAGTAATTTTAGAAAGGGAGTGGGATGGTGCATTAAACCACTATTCAATATTTTTAGATAAGAGTGGATCGGCTGCGCAATTTCCATGCCCAATTTCATTGTAGAATAAGCTCAAACTGTATGTGTTACACACTTTTAAAATGATTCATAATCTGTACAAGATGAATGATATAAGATTTGTTTCTCAGTGCTTCAATTGATTGAGACCATTGTCACTACAGACTAAACGTGGCCTACTGAAAATTCCTTGATGAATTGCTACCTATTTGTGTGGTATTTTTATCTAGTAACAATGAAATAATTAAGAATTCCTGTTGCTGCAGTGTGAGTCATTGATATTGTGGATCTTGCTGTCAAAGATAATTGTTCAGTTTTGTTAATATTTGTGAAATTTCAGATGCATCTATATTTTAAACATAAGCAATATAGGTTTCAACAGGGAAGCTACTTTAGAAGTCAAGTGTTTATAAACAGTACTGTTCAACATCTGAATTCTCTGCCACACGATTGTACAGCTGAAGTAATTCAGCTTTTCATCATTTGAACTGGAAAAAATGGCGAATGATTATTATTACTAAATAAATCGCATCGTAAATAAATGCTCTCTCTGCATGAAATAATTCAGCAAGTTGTTACATCAGAAAGAGTTTTCACCACATTCTCCTGAAAGAGATTAATTGGTGCTGCCTTCTTTAGACTGAAATTGCTTACATTTTTAAAGCCAAAAACTGTAGCTGTAGCATGTAGAGTGCAGGATAAAGGATAAATGTAGAAAATAATGATTTTGTTTTTGGCAGACAGGAGGAGCAACTTTGAAGATAAAATAAGGAAGCAACATTAATAAACAACTTAAATATAGCAATAACTGGTTAAACGCTAAGCTTAGTGCTAATGACAGAAAATTAGAATCAAATTACTGCAATTTGCAAAGGTAATGAAAATATCAGCATCCTAGCAAAGCAAGTACAAGCAGGAAATGATGCCAAGAATGAATTAACTGTTTTATGGAATTGATACCTTAGCTTGATAAAGGACTGACATCCTTGTACAGGTTAGTATATGCTGTAAGGTGCTCAGGGTGAAGTTAGTGTGTTGTTCTCATGTGTGTTTTCACACATTCCTGATTTTCTCCTAGCCCAGAGAAAGGTTGAATTTATAACAGATCTCTGAAACTTACATTTTTGTCTGTAGACTACCAGGCCAGGGTAGGAAATAATTTCTGTGGCTTTACACTTTTAGTCACCTTGGTTCAGTTGCATTTTTTTTGTGTCACTGGTTAAAATATCTTTTGGAAAACAGTGAACATTATTGCTGTTTCCTCTCAGTAACAACTGTTAGCTGAATACAGCTTGAGTCATAGAGTCATAGAGATGTCATAGCATGGAAACAGACCCTTTGGTCCAACTTGTTCATGCTGGCCAGATATCCTAAATAAATCTGGTCCCGTTTACCAGCATTTGGCCCATATCCCTGTAAACCCTTCCTATTCATATACCCATCCAGGTGCCTTTTAAATATTGAAATTGTACAAGCCTCCACCTCTTCCTCTGGCAGCTCATTCTATATACGCACCACCCTCTGTGTGGAAAAAGTTGCTCCTTAGGTCCCTTTTAAATCTTTCCCTTCTCACCTTAAACCTATGCCCTCTGGTTTTGGACATCCCCATCCCAGGGAAAAGACCTTGTCTATTTGCCCTGTCCATGCTCCTCATGATTTATGAACCTCTATAAGGCCACAACTCAGAGATAAAGGGTGTTTAAAATATTTTAGATTATTTAGATTTAAAAGTTGAAATGATCCCAATAAGATTATAGAATAATTTAAATAGCCACTTGTCAAGACTGTGTTGTTAATTTCCTAAATTTTTAATTGTAGACTGAAATGTTTTAAAAACTAAGGATGGCTGGAGGATTGCTGCATGTTCAAAAGCAAGTAACCCGACATTCCTTGCACACATTACTCGTACAGCTGTTTATCATCCATTAAGTGCAATGTAGTTTGTGGATGAACTGGAGCCAAAGGGCTGTGTGCCAGTGGAGATTTGGTTGGCAACAAGAAGCTGACGGTCTTTGGAATATTGACCAGTTATCAATGACGAAGATTTCTGCCTGCAAACAGTCACAAAATTGGTTCGTAGGTAACTCAACTGCTTTGGGTTGTGAAGAACTTAGAGAAGCCTTTGGATCATGACCATGTTAGGAGTGCTCTTTCTCTGTTCTCTGTAGTAAACCACATTAAACCTGAAGAAAATCAACAGTTGCAGGAAGCTGTGACATTTTAGTTGATAAGCCAGAGACCTTTTATAAGTGAATCAGCCACCCTGTGCCTCTTCCAAACCAGTAGCAGCATCCAGAGAAGGATGACTGAGAAGCAACATTCTGACCAGTGCAAGAATTATAAGAATCAGTAACCCTTGTGAGCAAGAACCACTGAACTGCTTTCCTAGTTTTTCCATTTATCCATAAACTATGTCTTTCTTTCTTTGTCTGTATGCTTATGATTATGTGTGTGTGAGAGGGGTGTTTATGCATGGATTAAAGTTTTAATTAGCAGAGTTATGTGCTGATGGTTCAATACCATTTAATTATGATTAGAGTTTAATTATTTGTAATAAATAGCACTTTTGTGACATACAGAAACTGCTCCATGCTTCCAGTCAACTCAGTCTAAAAGAAAGTGGGGAATTTTGTGTAGTTTAAATTGTGTTACCAGGAATCGCATGTTTTGATTCCCAATGTGCTGCTTCAGTAAGTTGTGAGATACCAGTAATCCACTAGATAAGCACAATAGTTCTGTTAATGCTCTAATAATGATTTGAGAACATGATCAAGTTATTTAGCTGACTTTGTTCATCCATGTTCCAGATTAGCATAGACTGTTTTCACCATCTTCTTAATGGTAAACTCTGATTCTTGTTGTATGATGGACCCTCACCTGAGTCACCTTTTTGAAAGCTACAACAGGTAGATTTACTACTAGCATCCTCCTTTTATTTTGGGATCTATATGACCTGAATTGTCTTGATCAGTAGATGAAGTCCACTTGCCAATCTAATGAGATTTTTTTCGTCATAAACAAGATGCAGGATAGGATCTTCCCAGTCCCTGAATGGTATGGCCTTGGTGAGAAATTTGAGAGAATCAGATGAGATGTCCAGTGTGGCCCTTCTTGATCTGGACAGCCCCTTTATCCAAGCAACTACTGGACGTTGAGATGAGACTCTAATTAGTGAGTGTTGAAAGACCCACTTGTGTGGATTATCACTCATTATCATCCTCATTATTACTTAATTTTACCTCATTAATATTGCAGCCTCCCATTCTATCAATCTCTTGATGGAAACTAGATACAGAGAATTCTGCACATAAAAGTCAGAGTGCATGGAACTGATTCCCATCCAACTTAATCCGCATGTATATTGTAAAATGCGTTTATGTGCAAAGACGTAGGGCTAGGAGGAGAAGGGTTCAGTACCCATGAAGCACTTACAATCTCCTACTATCTCTTTGCAACTTGCCTTCATCAGAATAAGGTCTAATGTCCAAGTATCATGCCTTCATTTCATGCTATTATTCTGCAGCCCTCCTTGTCAAAGTGCTCCATGTCCATCTGGTTATTCCCCACTCATGTTCATTGAATGTGTGATTGATGGATCAACCACAGAGGGATTATCGTCACTGTTGCTGTGATATGACAAAAATGAAGAGAAATGAAAGTGGGCCAGATGCAGCAGCAAGCCTAGGACCAGCAGCAACCACCAGCAGATGCTGAACAGCCTCCCCATCTAAAGGTCACAGCTGAAGCTCCCCTCATGATCTGTAGGCGATACAGGAGGGCCAGAGAGTTTTGTCCTCAATGCAATTTCCTCCAGATGAGCAAGGGACAATGTCAGCGCAGATTTCAGATCTCCTAGGACACTGTCACAGAACTGTGTCAACTGCTGGAGCAGGACCTGCAGCCCAAAAGCATAAGTGGCCATCCTATCCTGGTGGCTGGCATGGTGCCACTGCACTGAACCTTGATGCAATTCGCTCCTTCCATGAATCCACTGGGGACCTGTGAGGGATCTCTCAATTAGCCATACACAATGTATCGAGGCTGTTAGCGAAGACTGATTTGTTCCAGATCACACTGCTTCATCTTGTTTCCCCGTGACACCGGCCAGTAGGATTCAACAAAATAGCTGGCAGGGTTCTATAGACTGTACACAAATCACATTGAATGGGCCACATCGTAAAGCAGTTTAGATCATAATAGAAAAGTGTTCTATTTCATCAAAGTGTAAGTGATCTATGATCATTAAAATCCACATACAAGTAGATTTTCTCAGAGGGTCATGAAAATCTCAGCACTGTAATCACTTTTTTTTACAAGTTTAATGAAGAAAGGCAAGAAATTTGAATTGGCAGTGTGTTTGACAGTTTAAAAGTGATACTGACTACCATACCAGTTTTAGTAGCACCTAATTATGAGAAGTTATTTACACTGGCTGTGGATGCCAGTATTGTATTGGTGCAGTGTTGTTCAGGAGGATGAATGTGTATCAACTTGCCCATCAGTTACTTTTCCAAGAAATTAAATATACATCAACAGAAATATTCAACAATGGAGAACAAAACACTGAGCATGATCCTAGATCTACAAAATTTTGAGCTCTGCATAGCAAATAATTCTGCATATGTTGTTAATATAGACCATAAGAGTTTGTTTGTTTTGGAGAGATTCCATGACAAGAATTTATGACTGTGCTTCATTGGAGTTTTATGCAGCAACCATATAAATCTACAAGCTATGCATGTTATAGGAGAAGACAATTTTATAATAGATGTTCTATCTAAAGGAAATGTGAAAGAGAAGGAATACCATGAGAAAAATTGACTTGTGTAGAATACAATTCTGAAAGTCCTTTGTCTAATTTAAATATGTTATTATTGTTAAAGTGAAATAGAAGTAGTGAAAAAAGAAATGATGGAGAAAGAAAATGCCTCTTAAGAATTTCTGTTTTTTTTCTGGGGTGGAGAAATAAAGGTTGAGAATTTGGATTTTAAAGTTGGGGTAGATGCATTTTAGGTTCACTTCTGTGAACATGACTCACGTTCTTAACAGAGGTCAGAAAGTTATTTTGTAACAGTGAGTACAAATAGGATTTGTAATTTAAATGTCTTGATTAGTTATTGCAAATGATTACAAAGTTGATTTTTTAATTACCTACTCTGGGTGCCACAGAGTAAGTTAGGAGGCTTAGTCTAATGGAAGCATGCAAAATTATGAAGGATTTAAATAATGACGGACTGATCTCACTAGTTGTTAGGTCAGTAATAAATGACTTTAGATTCAGGATTATCACTGTAAGAATGTAGATCTGGAAGGAATATCTTCTCAAAGTGGGGTGTTAAATAAGGAATGTGTAGTGCCAATGACAATTGAAAAACAAGTAATGATACTATTAAGAGGGAGTTGGATAAGTATTTAAAATCGAACATATGAAAGGATTTGGAGGTATGGTTGACTGTAATTCTATTTTGTGTCCCTATCAGCTAAAATTAGCAGATGTCAAATATACTGAACTGTCTAGTTTTTCTGGTGCAGTTTCTGTGATGAATTTCCCGATGCTGAGTGCTCCCCCTTCCCCAGTGTACTGATCGCACAGTAGGGGAAAACTGGATAACAAAGCTTTCCAACCCTTTTACTTCTCAGGCGGCCTTCTTCCTCTTCTGGCATAGCACAAGCGATCTTTTGCTGCAACAGCACCTGCATTTTCATTATGGTCAGCCCTCATCTCTCACTTGTTGGCTACTTTGAGCTTGCTGTGAATACATAATAACATCAACCTGAGAAACTAGGCCAAAGTTATACAGCTTTGCATTCGGTAAAAGTGCTGCTCTAACTGTGTAGGGTTGGATTAGGGAAGGTATTCATTCGAAATCTTATATAGGAATGATTTTTATATTTAACATTGAAAAGAGAATTAGCACCCTTAAGCTCTGATTGTTCATTCTTCAACATTTTGTGCCTATTTCTGTTGCTATCTTTTATTCACAAAGAGAGAATTCAAGGAGCTTAGCATGATTATTAAAGCTGCAGCCTGTAACAATATGACAAGATAAAAACCTGCTTCTCTATTTTAATAGATGTTTCATGATTCAATTCCAAAATCTGAAGTGGGCATTCTGACACTGAATTCTAGTAATATAATCAAGTTAATCCTTGATGCTTATCATGTAAGTACTGACCACTATAGTGATCCTTGCATCAAAATCTGCCCAACATTTTGTACTGATTCAGTACCTAACAATATAACGATGGCTATGTTTTCACCTTTTTTTTACAGGATTTGTCCTTTGATGTGATCTTGGAGAACAGCTTGTTGCCAGAAGGAGTGACAATACATTATACAGCCTACTGTAACAACAATACTGTACATACAGGGGAACACGGCACCAAGTGTTTAGGGATTCACATTGGTGATAAGGTAATGTGGAGGTTGCAGTGAATGTAATGTATGTTTGCACATCAGTTGTGATCAGTAATACTTGATTGGTAAACCATCTGAAGAATTACTTTGTATGCACTGTTTGGCAAGTGAAGAAATGTCTTAATATCAATCTGATCAGAAAATGATGGACCACATTGGGAGCAAGCTGGCTGATGGGCAGAGGCAGTGTATGATTGGGTGTGATGATAGGGATTACCATCCCCATTGCTTATCTACTTGTACTGGAGCTTAGCAGAGGCAGCTTAGGTTTTGCAGAACCCACTGCCCATCTTGAGCCAACTGTGTAAGTGGCCAATCAATGGCCTTCTAATGCTTTCTCCTCTGTCTCTGGTAGTGTGTCACAAGGTAGAGCGTGGCCCCCTGCTGCATGCTCTGGGAAGGGGTAACCTTCTGTGCACTCAGCCTCTGCCTCTGTTTCAAGCGCACACCCTCTTTTTTTAAGGTAAGGGGCAGGAGGTTTAAAGGAGATGTAGGGAAACATTTTTTCACCCAGAGGATGGTGGGAATCTGGAAGTCACTGCTTGTAAGGATGGCATAGGCAGAAACCCTCAAAACATTTAAGAAGTATTTAAATGTGCCCTTGTGATATGAAGGCATTCAAGGCTATGCTTTATTGCAGCTCAATATCATTGTGTAAGGCTTCTTTCTCTTATAATCCAGTCTCTTTGCAATAAAGGCAAACATTCCATTTTCCTGAATTGCTTGCTGTATCTATGGATCAACTTTCTGTGATGTGTGTGAAAGGGACCATTTAAATACCAACATTTCCTAGTCTCTCATCATTTTAAAAAAATGTTCAACATTTTATACCAAAGTGGATACTTTCTCAATTCACACATTATATTCCATCTGCCAGAGCCATGCCCACTTACTAAGCCTATGAATATTAATCTGCAGAGTCATTGAGTCCTTCTCACAGCTTATTTTCCCTTGAGCTGGTTCCTAGGTAACCCATAATGCTAGAATGGGCACCTCCCCAATACGCGTGGCATCTTATCAAAGTTGAGTCGTTTAAATCACAGCCACTTGCCAAGAAGTGGTGAAATTTGCATCTCATCAAACATTGCACAACAATGCTTTGGAGTTCTTGCATGGATACCGCCATCAAGATTTGTATATTTAAATATTCAACAGGTTTAAATCTAATATTAGAACGTTATTTTCCTCCTTATGGATTAATACAGTACGATAAAGCTACTTTACTGATAGAATCTATGAATAGATTGTCATGTGTGTTCTTTTGATGTTATTACTGCATTGTACAACGAATTTGTGATTTCAGTTTTAAATTCTAATTTATTCTTCTACATGACCTGAAACCTATGGATGTTCTTAATTTCCTCAGTCTTTCCTTCTTCCTGTGGGCTTAAGGCTTTTAAATCGCCGGCTTATTGCAATTTAATTATCATTTCTTAATTCACCACTTCATTTTCCTTTTTGCAACCTTGAAGATTTCTGTTCTGTGGGTTTTGGCCCCTCACCCTTGATTTCTCAGTAGTAAAATATTGGCTGCGTTGATCTGTCTGCAGCAGCACCTTACTTGTAACTCTTGCAAGAGGACCAATTTTTAAAATGCCATTCCGGTCTTTCCAGGTGAACTTTGACATACGTATCACAGCAAAGAAATGCCCAAATGATGGGCAGAAATCAACTATTCAGCTCAAGCCATTGGGTTTTAATGAGAAAGTGGAAATCACTCTGAAGTTTTTATGTGAATGTAAGTGCCAAAGGCAGGGAATCACAAAACATCCAGATTGTAACGAGGGGAATGGAAAAATGGAATGTGGAGCCTGTAAGTAAGTGATCAAGTTATTCAGCACAATATTGAGTACAGGGAAAATTACATAAAAACAAATAGAGAGGTGATGACATGATGGCATTATCTGCTGGACTAGTAATTCATAGATAATGTTCTGGGGATGTGGGTTTGAATCCCACTATAGTAGGTGGTGGAATTTGAATTTGATAAAATCTGGAATAAAAAGTTTAATGATGACAATGAAAGTATTGTTGATTGTTGTAAAAATAATCATTTGGTTCACTATGTCCTTTAGGGAATGCAAACTGCTGGTCTGGCCTACATGTGACTTCAGACCCACAGCAATGTGGTTGACTATTAACTGCCCTCTGATATCTCTAACAAGTCACTCAGTTGTATCAAACCACTGAAAAATCTCCAAAATGGAATGAAACCAGATGGATCGCCTGGTTTTGAACTAGTCAATGGAAATGACAAGGGGCAAACTTAGCCCTGTCAACTCTGGAAAGTCCTTTTTCACAACATCTGGGGCTAGTGCCAAAATTGCGAGAGCTATCAATGACTGAGCACCTATAGCTGTTTGGAGTAGAGAATTCTTCTCATCCTAGCCCCAAATTCCTCACCCTTTTATTGTCACTACAAGTTGAAATATTCTAACAGTAGGCTAACCAGATTTTATAAAGTTTCAACATAGCTTCTCTGGTTTTGTAGTCAATGCATCTACTCATGAAGCCAAGGACCCAAATTATAATGTCTCGAGAAAATGTACTAGGAATGCTAATGCAACTGGAGGCTAACAGCCCCTTGAAATCGATGGCCTACAACCAAGGGTTTTAATAAAGTGGTTGCAGAGATTGAAATTTTTTGGAACTCCCTCAATTCTGAAAGGATCCCATTGGTTACAAAATGTTCTATGACTTTCAGAACCAACCACTGACAGCTAATTATTGGGCTGGGGTGTTGCCACCAAATCCCTTTATACATTGAATGGAAGAGCCTTTATGAAGAAAAGTGCTAAGGGATGTACCATTAATGAGTCTTAACAAGAAGAGGCATCAAGTTTAACAATTGTATTGTTGATATTGCATGATGGAGAAAGTTGCAAGTTATATTGGCTTGTTAGACCATTGGGAGCTAAAATTGGCATATCTCACCTTGCCGGACTCTTTGATTTTCCATGATGAGATCATCAGATTGGGTGGAGCCTAATACAATTTCCAACATTAAGAGATCACCAAAATTACCTTAAATGCCAGAAAAGTAAAAATGAACACCATGATTCAAGACAGGAAGCAGAACACCTTCGGCCAGTTAATCTAATATCTGTCTTTAGGACAATGCTGTAACCCACTATTGAGGGAGTAGTAGCAGGACATTTTAAGATTCATTGTACAATCAGGCAGAGGCAACATGGTTTTGTGCAAGGGAAATCATGTTTGGGAAATTTATCGGAGTACTTTGACAAGAAGGGTGGATAACATAGAATCAGTAGACGTAGTGTATACAGATTTCCAAAAGGCATTTGAAAAAGTGCTGTAAATAAACGCTCCCACACAAGATGAGAGCTCATAGAGTTGGAATAATATATTAAAGTAAGTAAAGGATTGGATAACAAATAGGAAACAGTGTGTTGGGATTTTCAACTTGTCAAGCTGTAACTAATGGAGTTCCACAGACATCAATGCTAGGCTTTCAAATATTTATCATCCATATTAATGACTTGGACGAGGAGATGACTGCACTGTAGACAAATTTTCTGATGACATAGGGATAGGTAGGAAAGCAAGTTAAGTGGATGATACATGTGCCTGCAAAGAAACATAGATTAGTTGAGTGAGCAGGTAAAAATTTAACAGATGGAATACACTATTTATCAATCGTGTTACAGCCAATTTGCATTAACGAAATACCCGTTATAGCAGAAATACTGTATAATGCGAAAAGATGTGAAATTGTCCCTTTGATAGGAAGAATAACAAGATAGAATATGATTTAAACAGAAAGAGACTGCAGAATATTAGACTTTGTTAGAAAGACGGTGATGAAATTTGCTCACAAAGGTCATCTTTGAGTTGAGATAAGCATTTCTGGCATCATGCCATTACTTGTAAAACTTGAATTGTTAAACCCTGCTTTGGAAGACTAGGCTCAGCATGAGGAAAGACTGCATTAGTTTTTTTCTGGGCAAGCAACATTGGGGCAAATGAAAGGCAATGAGTAATTCTCCTGACATCTTGTGGACCTGCAGCTTTTTCAGTTATTAGGAGCCTAAATTTTCCGGAGGCACCAGATACTAAAACCTTTTAAGAGTTGACAGATTTAGCTAAGGAATATTATGACCCCAAGCCTCCCACATGTATTTCTGAGATGCTATCAGTTTTACTTGGCAATTCGAGAACCAGGGGAATCTGTATCAGGATTTTTAACTAGGTTAAGACAATTATTATCCCTTTTAGCTGAAGCCCAACTGGACTTAAAACTTCAAACACTATAACTGGGTGTATAAGAGGTGAGTACTGAGATAATGGCATTAATATCAATTAAATGAACTGCATCATCTCAAAGAAAAAGAACCAGTCTGTGTCCTTGGACTGAGAGGGGGATGGATATAGTAATTGTAATGAGGTCACCCAGGTGGACCTCATAGAATATGAGTTCCCTGAATGGGCTGTTATTCTGATCCAATCAGGGAACCCTGGCTGACAGATGTAAACAGGAGCATGAGACACCCTATTCACTCTGAGAGCTTGTTCTGAGTGAGCTGGATCAGTGTCAAGGACACTCCACATGTAAACAAAGGGTGACTTAGTGATGGAATACTGGTCTCTGGGGAGTTATTTCAGGGAGGCAGAGTATAAAGGTGGTGATGGCTTGCTGCAATGAGGAAAGTCATTTTGAGTACAGTGTACAGGTGATCTCCTTACTTAAGTCTGAATATGCCTGCAGTAGAAACTGTTTAGAGAGGATTCATTGAGCTAGTAACAGGAATGAAGAGGCTGGTGTATGAGGAAAGGCTGATCGGGACCAATCCAAACCCATTCAGAGTTTAGAGGAATAAGAGACAATCTTTTTGAAATTTAAGATCCTGAGGGGATTTAACAGAGAGAATGTTTCCTCTCATGGAAGAACTTAGGATGAAGGGACACAGTTAAAAGTAAGGGATTTCCCATTTAAGATGAGGAAGAATTTCTTCTCTCATATGGTTGGTAATCTTTGGAATTTTCTTAGCCGAAAGTAGTTGCAGGTGGGTCTTTGATTATACACAAGGCTGAATTGGACAGATTTTTGAAAGGCAGGAGAAAGCAGCTAAAGGGCACAGTCAGATCAGCTACAATCTTATTGAATGAGGGGTAGGCTCAAGGAGCTGAAACACTGACTACTGCTCCTACTTTCCAGTGAGATTCTTTACTAACTGCTCTCTTAGAGTGTCCTGCCACTTGTAAAGTTCTGTTCACGTGAACTAACAGGTTTCTCTGTCCCTGCATATCCTTCAGAATTTTACCTGAAATTCTGCCAATTCTGAGGGACTGAAATTCAAGGCTGAATTGCCTTTTTCGGAGCAAGTCTGCCTAATTACACAGCCCTGCATGACTCATTATTGGGTTCAGCAATTATGGACAGGATTGAATTCATCCTGGTCTGGCAGCATCTGTGAAGAGAAATCAGAGTTAACCTTTTGGGTCCGGTGACCCTTCCTCAGAGCAGTTCTGAGGAAGGGTCACTGGACCGGAAACGTTAACTCTGATTTCTCTCCACAGGTGCTGCCAGACCTGCTGAACTTTTCCAGCAACTTCTGTTTTTGTTCCTAATTTACAGCATCTGCAGTTCTTTTGGTTTTTATTGAATTCATCCTGATGTTTTTATTTGTGGACAGAACATATTTCCCACATTGTCAATTAGATGCCAGTGTTATAGCTGTACACAGCAATGGATTAATTAGGAATGTGTTTTTTTTTCTGGAGCACAGGTTTAACATGCCCAATGCCTTCTCTCTCCAGGATTATTTTTAAATATTTGATTCCTGCAGCATTGCTTTGAACATAATCTTCCTATTCATCCACAGATGTTCTCTGGTTGAGAATTTGCTTACTGTTTTTCCTGATAATCTTGTATTTGGATGCTCTGAGAGTCGGTGTGGACTTGTTGGGCCAAAGGGCCTGTTTCCACACTGTAGGGATTCTATAAAAAAAATTAAGTATTTCCTACTGAGTGAATCAACACAACTGAGAACAGCAAAAGCAAAATACTGCAGATATGTGAAATCCAAGAACAGAAAATGCTGGAAACTCACAGCAGATCTGATAGTGTTTCAGGTCGTGAGAACTGACAAAAGTCAGGAATGTAATTGTTTTGAGCCAGTGAAAAGGTGGAGAGTGGGGAAGAACAAAAGGAATAGTCTTGATAGAGTGCAAGGCAGGATAGGTTAAATAGGACCCATTTCTGAAAAAGGGTCCTTACCCGAAATGCCAACTTACCTGCTCCTCTGATGCTGCCTGGCCTGCTGTGTTCATCCAGCTCCACACTGTGTTATTTCTGACTCCAGTATTGGCAGTTCTTACTATCTTTCAATGCAAGGAGTCCATTTAAGACAGAGATAGGACAGAAGTTCTAGTGAAGAGTCACCAGAGTCAAATCATCAATTAAAATTCTCCCCACAGGTGCTGCCAGGCCTGCTGAGCTTCTTCAACAATTCTTGTTTTTCTTTAAGACTGAGATAGATAAGTTCTTGATTAGTAATGGGATCAAAGGTTACAGAGAAAGGCAGGACAAATGGCAGAGCAGACTTGATAGGCCAAATGACCTAATTCTGTTCTGCTATCTTATGGTCTCATGGTCTTAATATTAAGAAAGAAACAAGAGCAAAAAGAAAACACAAAACAAAAAGGGGACATTAGTCAGCTCAATATTGCATCCAGAAAACTGTTAATTTCCCAGTACAAAGTTTGAGGTGATGTTCTTTGAAACTAAAAGTGCTTGTTTTTAAAGAAGAAACTAAGATCGTGATTTCCTGAAGCTGATTTTTAAGACTTAACTGTTTCATTTCAGATGCGATAGAGGATGGATTGGTCGATTTTGTGAATGCAACGTTGATGAAGTATACAGTGAGGATATGCATGCCTCATGTCGAAAAGATAATGCGTCTCCAATTTGCAGTGGTAATGGATATTGTATCTGTGGGCAATGTGTCTGCAAAAAGAGAGAAAATCCCAATGAGCTCATCTCAGGCAGATATTGCGAATGTGATAACTTCAGTTGTGACCGATCCAATGGACTGATCTGTGGAGGCAAGTGTACAGCAGAATGAATAACCTACCAGTTTTTACTTTTCCATAATATGAGCAAAGTACTGTGGATGCTGAAATAAAAACAGAAAATACCGGACAAGCCTAACAGCTTTTGCAGTATCTTGTGGAGAGATATACAGAATTGACATCTTGAGTCCAATATGACTCTTCCGATGACTTTCTGGTTATTTGCTATATAAATGCGCCATCTTGCTCTCATGCTAACATTCCCACCCTGGGCCTGTTGTAGTGTTCCGGTGAAGCCCAACACAAGCTGGATACACAGTGCCTCATTTTCTCCTTAGAGACATTACAGTCTTCAGGATTCAATATTGAGCTTATCAACTGCAGACCATAATACTTTCTTCCATTTAGATTACATCTACCTTACCCACTCCATGCCTTGTTTGCATTGGCTTAATCTATGCAGAGCAGATCAATTTTCTATTATTCAAACCTACTATTAACATGTATTCTGCATTGATATTCCATCCTCCCCTACCATCCCTTTGTCATTTACTCCAACACCTTCTCCATCTGTTTCACTTGATTGTCCGCCCCTTCTGTCAACAGTATAAAAACAAGACCCCTTCAGTTCCAAAGAAGTCATTTTGTGCTTGAAACATTAACTCTGTTTCTCTCTCCACAGATGCTGCCTCATCTGCTGAGTTTCTCTTGCACTTTCAGTTTTGTTTGCTTTTCCATATGCTGGTTCTTGGTCTTCATAATCTGAACTTGTTTGTAATTTATCACAGATGTTTGTTGTGAAAGTCGGTAAACATCACTGGGTGTTGTTACGATCCTGGATCCAACTGCCACATTTATGTTATGATCTGGCTAGGGCCCAATAACTTCCATTTTTAAAGTTTAAAAGAAAGTGTGAGATGCAGAAAACTTAGTAAGAACACAAAATCACGTAGTTATTCCAAAGTATATTTTAATATTCAGAGTTAATGTTGGTAAATATGGGTAACGGAGAATGATCAGACATTCCACAGTCGCATCAAATGGATTTCACAGTAATTCCCCTTTATTATATAGGGGTGGCTAATTCAAACTCTTCACTGACAAATGGTGTCTATGAGCCAGTCCTTCCTTCAAGTATTCTCTCAAGCTCCAACCATGTTCAGTTGCATCAAGCGAATGCTCACGCGAGTTTTTCATCTCCTAATCATTCAGCTGCACCAAATTATTAATGCTCGCTGGCTTCTTCCGAGATTCTTGTGGCTTCCCTTCAACACGGAAGGCCAGGGACCTCCATTTTCTCAGCTTCCCAGGACTTTTTCTACGTATTGATTCCACCACTTAGCTGCCTAGTGACTCCTAGAACTTTCTCTGGAGTTCTATTAGCATAGAGCAATCAAACTGATCCTTATTGAGTCCCTTACACAGAATCCATTTAATTCAGCTGGACAGCTGCGTCACTTGTAACATGGGGTCTGCTTCTGTCACTCTCTCGCATCCTCGCTCATTGTAACCTTTAAACTCCTCTTAGTGACTCCTGAACTCTCCTGAGGGACCTATCGAAAACCTTGTGATAAGTCCCTCCGCTCTATTGCTGGGCAGAATTGAATGTCGGCAGCTGGCAACTCCTGGAACTGGCTGTTCCATAAATGTTACTATGCACTGATTGCTGGTTTGCTCTGTAGAAACCATAGATACACACAGATGATTTCATCACAGTTTAAAGGATGGGTAAGATGTGTGAAGTAAATGGAAATAGCTTTATTTTTTAACTTAGCCAAGCTAGAAACTCAGCAGCTAATCCAGATCCATTTTATTCAATTCCATTGACTCAGCTGAAGTAGATGGGCTAAGTGCACTGACCCAAAAGAAGATCAATGGCAGGATTTTTATTTGTGGGTTAGTTGTGCAGAGTTAGGAAAAATCCCAGCTCCGTGAACCCAACCTTTAAAATTGTCCACCTGTATTTCTGTGCTTTTGGTCCAGGGGCCTGGCTAGATTGCAAGTCAGGCTGAGCAACCTGGTAAGAGGCTGAGATGCTGCCAAGATCTCAAGGGGGCTGGGTGGACGGCTTGCCTTGGGATTCTGGCACTATGATCAAAGTTTAAAAATATAGATCAAAACATAAAGCAACCCATCTGCTCTCACCATCTTCAGTCACCTCCCTCACTCTCCATGCCCCATTCATACCTACAAATTTCAATGTACTCATCTCCATTGTCCGTCATATCCTCTGTGCCAACCTATGCCCATCTACTCACCCTCTAAGGCCACTCATGTCTCAACATCGATGGACCCAATCCCTTGACCTCACATTCTTCCTATGCACTCCATGCCAATCTGTCCATTCTCCATGGCCATTCATACCCCATGCATCCAATGCTAATCTTCCAATCCCCATGGCCACCCATGACAATCTACCGGTCTACCATGGCCTCTCATACTCAAACATCCCTAGTAATCCTATAGCCCCTTATAGCCCTATATAATCAATTGAGTGCCAATTCATAAAACGCTTTGCCCAGCCCTCAGCTATTATTTAGCATGGAATACCTCAAGAGTCATGCTGACAGAAAATTGAAGTTACCAGTCTTTGAGGATATCACCATTAGAAGAACGATAATGCAAAATACAAAATTTGTTACATTCAAAAAAGCATTTTTATTAAAATTCTTCAATTTATCTTTATGTAAATAATAATTTGAGTCAAGTACTCAATGTCTTTTGTGTGCAAGCATTTCCATTCAATAATCAGCTAGAGTTGTCCGTCAATAGGTATTCCATTGCAAAATTGATAGTTTGGGAAATCAGTCATGCAGCATAAATGCTTTAATGTCTGTACAGGCACTCTGAAATAGCAAGCACTAACTCCATTGTTTGGACAGTTTCTTGACAATGTTGCCAAACCCAATGAGTATATGCAGTTTTTATACACAAGCATATCTTTTTACAATCCCAAATGGTGCCTTACCTCACCTTAGGTGTCCTCAGAACAGATCTAATGGGATACCTTACGTCTCCAAAAGGGGAGAAATATAAAGCGTTCTTTCAATCCTTGCCCCTTTTATCCCCTCACCCCCTTCACCTATACACACTCCTCATGCAGCTCAATGCCCTGAACAAATCCCCTGTGGTCCTTCGCAATCCTCTACCAACTAAGACCCACTACTCTTTCCCCTTCATGTATCATGGAAACTCATTTGTTATTCACAAGTGCCCATTTGCAGGGAAAGACTGTAGTTCTATTTCTATAATTTCTACATTTTAGGCTACACTCTATTGAGAAGAGTACTGACATACATAAATGCACATTCTAACACTTGTTGACTCTCCTTGACAGGTCAAGACTTGTTGACACTTTGTGACACAAGTTGAGACACCTTGACAGCTCTTGACAAACTGGACAAGATCATGGGATTTATGCACTTTTTGCACCCAATCTTCTCCAGTTAATAGTCCCAAAGGGCACCTTGCACACCCCATCAAAAGGATTCCTGACCCCCTACCCCACGGTATGTTGGGGCCATATCCATAAGGGTACCTCAGCTCTCCAGCGGGGCACCATGCAATTGAAAAGACATTCACTCAAAACAGAACTCTTCTTACTCAGTCTAATCTTGACACTCTAGATTTCCGATGGCAGTGCCTACAAAATTCCATTTTACTGGAGGCATGTGGTCATTTAAATGGACAGCTGCCTCCAGGACCCATGCGTACACAAGCTAGGACCCACTCCTGCAAAAAAAAAATGAGAGCTGCCAGATTTGAATGCAGAACTTGTGATTCCTGAGTTCTGAGGTATTTTTGCCTCAGTGGAGAAAGATCTCTGTTGTGGCAAAATTCAGCCCTTGGGTTTTTTTGTAACTATTATGACTATTAGAAAAATGATACCATGATCACTGAAGCCAGTGCTGATCTGAGATGGGATTCATAAACTTCTGAATTTGTTGATGTATTTTGGTTGATTTGTAAAGTTAAAAGATTCCATGGGTATAGGGGTCATTACACTGATCTGTAGTGCGGGGTTGAGAATGTAGGTTTACACTGAGAGTTCTTCACACACTGCCCTGGATCTCAGTAACCTGATGAAGCCCAATGCTTCATGGATCTCAGTAACCTGATGAAGCCCAATGCTATTGGTTGCACTTGTTTAATCTCATTTTCAAAATAGTATTCGCAATGTGAGGGAGAAAAGGGGGGTTTATTTAGGATGCTGTCATTCTTGGAGGCCAGGGTATGTGATGTAGGTACAATAAAGAAAGTATTCCAGACACATTGAAACAAGGATAAATATTCACATGCCTAATTTGCAGTAATAGAGATTTTCTGATTGGTACTGTTGATTCCACAGGCACAGAATGAGTCCAGAGAAATTGAAATATAGGGTCAGCAGGTTTTAATTCTGCCGGATTGCTTTAGCCCACACAATTAACTTGGTAAAGCATTGATGCAGAAATAATATTTAATTTAATATTTATTCCAGTTTATAGACATTTGCTTCAGGATGTCAGTTTTATTTGACTTCAGAACACTGTCAGTGTGGAGTTTGCACATTCTCCCCGTGTCTGTGTTGTTTTCCTCCGGGTGCCCCAGTTTCCTTCCACAATCCAAAGATATGCAGGCTAGGATGGATAGGCCATGTTAAATCATCCATAGTGTTCAGGGATGTGTAGGTTGGGTGGATTACCCATGGGAAATACAGGGTTACTGGGATAGGGTTGGGGTGGGTCTGGGTGGGATGCTGTTTGGAAGGTCAGTGTGGACCCCATGGGCCGAATGGCCTGCTTCCACACTGTAGGAATTCTATGATTTTAATCCATTTTGAATAAGAATGAGGGGCTTCGGATGAATTTTGTTACAATGTTTCCAATATATTTTTAGAATTTTGATGCCAGTTTTATGAATTCTGGAACAAAGTCCTGTATTTTTCTTCATATAGTCTATATTTTGGGGATAATCTTTTGCAATTGTCTCAGTAAAGAAGATTTAGTTTGCTATCTATTCAAAGTTCCAAGAGTAGCCCTTTATTTCAGCTGCATCTATGGAAGCATAACTAGAAAGGAACTGGTAGGAAAATGGGCATGAGAAAATATTTTCCCAACCAAAAATTCCCGTGTTCTAGGGAGTCTTGGAGTGCAGCAAATTATGATAACGTAAATGGTGTTCCAATTGGTACAAACTGAAGTAATTGATGCCTGGCAAGTTAGAAAACACCAGGACAAAAATGCTGGGATCCACTATTTTCCCACCAATCATTTCTATATACCGTGAAACTAACCCTGAGAAACTGGCCCCACAGGCTGTGTCAGTATCAAGTTAGTAACAGAACTGTGCTATCAGCGTCAAGATCAGTTCAAGTACCACACAGAACTAGTCCTGTTCTCTGAGAAGGGTCTCCTGGAGTACTGGGCTAATGGTAAGATTCTTGGTAGTGTGGATGAGTAGAGAGATCTCGGTGTCCATGTGCATAGATCACTGAAAGTTGCCACCCAGGTTGATAGCGTTGTTAAGAAGGCATACGGTGTGTTAGGTTTTATTGGTAGAGAGATTGAGTTTTAGAGTCACGAGGTCATGTTGCAGCTGTACAAAACTTGGCCGCACTTGGAGTATTGCGTACAGTTCTGGTCACCGCATTATAGGAAGGATGTGGAAGCATTGGAAAGGGTGCAGAGGAGATTTACCAGGATGTTGCCTGGTATGGAGGGAAGGTCTTATGAAGAAAGGCTGAGGGACTTGAGGCTGTTTTTGTTAGAGAGAAGAAGGTTAAGAGGTGACTTAATAGAGACATACAAGATGATCAGAGGATTAGATAGGGTGGACATTGGGAGCCTTTTTCCTCGGATAGTGGTGGCTAGCACGAGGGGACATAGCTTTAAATTGAAGGTGATAGATATAGGACAGATGTCAGAGGTAGGTTCTTTACTCAGAGAGTAGTAAGGGCGTGGAATGCCCTGCCTGCAAAAGTAGTAGACTCGCCAACTTTAAGGGCATTTAAATGGTCATTGGATAAACATATTGATGATAATGGAATAGTTTAGGTTAGATGGGCTTCAGATTGGTTTCACAGGTTGGCAGAACATCAAGGGCCGAAGGGCCTGTACTGCGCTGTAATGTTCTATGTTCTATGTTCTATGTTCTATAAACACTCGCACCCTACTTTTAGTCGTGGCAATTTGCTTTATCGGTCATGAGACCATGAGTTGAGGGATTACAACATTCTATTAGCTTCCCACAAACTGTATTTTTTGTTATATGTTTATTTTGTCAGCTTTTTAAATGCCAAAACAACCTTTACAAAGTTTGAAGTATGCAGAGGAAGCACTGACAGACTTTCTGATTGGTGAAACTTACTTCAAAAGCAATTTTTACATGACAGCCCATTTGGTGCATTTGGTACCCTTTGGTCATTTCACACACTATGGTGTTATTGTGCTTGCATTGCAAAGCCAGTATGAATCAATCTTACCATCCAAAACTGCAATTACTGCAGGAGGTATTTAAAAACATTCCAGCTAGATATAACGTTTGGAGAGTATCTTAATGAAACAGTGCTGATGGATGGGCTCATAGGAGGCACAGTGGCACAGTGGATTGGGGAGGTGATGGCCTGGTGGTAATATCATTGGAGTGTTAATCCAGAGACCCAGATAATGTTCGGGGGACCCGGGTTTGAATCTCGCCACGGCAGATGGTGGAATTTGAATTCAATAAGTATCTGGAATTAATAATCTAATGATGACTGTGAGTCCATTGTCAATTGTTGGAAAAACCCATCTGGTTCACTAACGTCCTTTAGGGAAGGAAACTACCATCCTCACCCAGTCTGGCCTATATGTGACTCCAGACCCACAGCAATGTGGTTGACTCTTAACTGCCCTCTAGGAAATTAGGGATGGGCAATAAATGCTTCCTAGCCAGCGACACCCTCATCTCGTGAATGAATAAAGCAATTGCTGCCCCATAGTGACAGGAACCTGGGTTTGATTCCAACCTTGGGTGACTATCTGTGGAGTTTGCACATTCTCCCCATTTCTGAATGGGTTTCCATTGAGTGCTCCAGTTTCCTCCCTCAGTCCAAAGATGCACAGTTTAGGTGGATTAGCCATGGTAAATGTGGGTTATGGGGATTGGGGTGGGGGCTGCTGTAAGTCTGGGTGGAGGGTTGGAGCAGACTTGATGGGCTGAATGACCTCTATCTGCAGTGTAAGGCTTGTATGATTCTAACCTTTTTGACTTCTTGTTGCAGGAAATGGCATTTGTCATTGTGGAAAATGTGAGTGCTTACCCACATTTACAGGCAGCGCTTGTGATTGTCCATTAGATGTGCATTCATGTAAATCAACAAATGGACAGATATGTAATAACAGAGGAATATGTGAATGTGGTCGGTGCAAATGCGCCGACAGGTTCATGGGCCCAACGTGTGAGCTCTGTCCAACTTGTTCTGGTGTCTGTATGGGCCTTAAGTGAGTATTCTGTCAATCATAAACTGTGTGATGTCTTAGTTATTTCTCTGACAAATATAGTTGTTTGAGTCCCTCAAAAGTGAACTAGTTAACTGTGTTGGATAATTCTTTGGAATTAGAGTCCATGTTTCATTAGGTCCATGTCTGTGATAAATATTAATAACCTGTGCCTGAAAACTCACCTGAAAAAATCTATGTGATTGATTTAACATCAAATTCATACGTGTCATTTTAACATGCTGAAGTATATCTGAATCATATGCTCCTGACAACTCTAAAGACTGTGCTTTGATAGTGAAGAGATCATGCCTGATTTCATGGTCCTAGCGAGCGACTTCCTCAGCAGGAGTGCAAAGGTAGAAAGTTGCCCTTTATGTTTGTGCTGATTTTAATCCAATCTGCATCCTCACACTTTTACAGTGATTGTGTCCTGTGTAAAGCCTTCAACAAAGGACCTAAGAAAGAAACCTGCGATCAGTGTGGGTTTGAAGTAACTCTGCTGGATCAACCAGATGAGTTGCCGCAATCACGTTGCATGTTCATGGACCCAGACATCGGCTACTTCTGCTTTTCGTATCTTACTAATGACCAGAATGTCCCAGAAGTTCGTGTTGCCAAAACCCAAGGTGAGTCTTTTATCGTGAACCAAGGGGAAAGCCTTTATTCTGAATCTACAAAATTCAAAGACTTGGTTTGGCTGAATCATATTGTTTTTGATTTGATTTGTTGATTTATTGTCAAGTGGACCTAAGAACAGTGAAAAGTTTTGTTTATGAGCAGTACAAGCAGATCACAGTAAGCAAGGACATACAGATCATAGGGTGAAAATAAAAATAGACAGAGGCATACAAGGAACAAAAGAAAGTTCCCGGAACTAAGTTCACTTTTATGCTCTTTAATAAATGTTACTTTTCAAGGGGTGAGGTGAAGCACTCTTGAGGTGATTGTATGGCAGAAGACACATAGTGGAGACATTCAGAGGGCACATACAAAGTTGAAATGAGTGGTTCCAACAATGTTCATGTATCTCAAGACAAAAATACAAACAGTTTCTGGTGTTCTGACTTGCAATTCATCCACCAGTGAGAATTCCAAGCTTCGCTGCTCCTGCATCCTCTCAAAATTCAAACAGAACTATGACTTAGAAGTATAAAAATAGCGGCTAACAGACTGGACTTGGTATATCAGATTGTCAAGAGTTTACACATGTCACTCTGATTATAGGTTTGACTTAACTGATGGCATTATTGGAAAATTTTATTGATAACAAAGGGAGCTAAATGGGGGCTAAGCACAATAGCTTGCCTGGAAAGTTCCAATGAAATTATGCTGTATGTTTAACCATGCTCATTACATGGAATACAAGCTGCATGCCAACTTCATGATGCCAACATTTTTAAATGATTTTGACATTCACTGTTGGTAGGCACAGGCACACAGGAAACATGCACTAAGGCAATGAACAAGTGTGATTAGTTGACTTTTCTATATAATGTGGCATGGCTTCAATTTAAACCCATGCCACTAAACATTCCTTCCTCTGTGTGGCCAATATTTCTGGCCTAGCTAATTTTCTGATGGTAAGTGACAGAGCAAAGGTAAAATGTGGGGCTGTTGGTGACTGGGCAACTGGAGTGGAAGCAGGCTATTTGGCCCATTAATACCACACCACCCCTCTACCCTATCCTTGGAACCCTGCATTTCCCATGGCTAGCCCAACTACACATCCCAGGAACACTAATTTTCTGAAGAAGGGTCTAGGCCCAAAACGTCAGCCTCCCTGTTGCTCTGATGCTGCTTGGCCTGCTGTGTTCATCCAGCTCTACACCTTGTTATCCCAGAAACACTGTAGGCAATTTAACATGGCCACTCTACCTAAACTGCATATCTTTAAACTGGGAGTAAACCAGAACAACCAAAGGAAACCCACACAGGCACAGGGAGGATGTGCAAACTCCACACAGACAGTCACCTGAGGGTGGAATCGAACCCAGGTTCCTGGCGCTGTGAGACAGCAGTGCTAACCACTGAGCCTCACTGTTGCTTTCAGTGCATGTGGGTGTGGGTTGTGCACCAGAGCTGTCAGCCATAGGTTCAGTGGAAAGCCGGTGTTACCCAGAGACCAGCCTTCAGTTTGCCGTGGTGTCTTAAAGGGAGCTGGCGTGGTGGAGTGGTGCAGGATGTGTCACAAGTGCTGCCAGGACACTGGGCATTGATGTTCATGATCCATTACCTCTAATCACACACCAACTAGACAATGATGAAGTGGAATCTCTTTATTTGGTTTTTGCCTGTGGTTCAATAGGTAGATTCCTGTGATGATAGTCTTACCCAATGTGGAAAGATTGAAAACAATAAGCCTATATTTAATCTCTCCTTACTGCAATCTGAAGTCCCCATCTGCTTCAAGAAGACCACGATGACGCCAGTGCCAAAGAAAAATCCTGCAGTGTGCCTCAGTGACTGATGCCTGGTGGCTCTGACCTCCATAATTATCAGGAGGTTAGTCATAGCTCACATCAACTCCAACCTATCAAATTGCCTTGATCCTTTGCAATTCGACTACTCAGCACAACAGGTCCACAGCAGATGCCGTCTCCCTGGCCATATGCTCATCCCTGGACTATCTGGATAACGATACCGATGTCAGGTTCCTACTTATTGACAACAAAAACAGAATTTGCTGGAAAAGCTCGGCAGATCTGGCAGCAGCTGTGAAGAGAAATCAGAATTAACGTTTCAGCTCTGGTGACACTTCCTCAAACTGATGGTAGCTAGGAAAATGTTAGCTTTTACGCAGAAGATAGGATGGGGGGAGGCGGAAGGAATAAACAATAGGTGGGGACAGAGCCCAATGAGACGGAAGAACAGTCGGATTGACAAAGGAGTAGATAACAATCCAGCTAGGAGAGTGAATAACTGTTAGTGAAGACTGTTAGTCACTAACAACAGGTGGTGTGTAATGGCAGGCTGTGTGATAGCAAAACCTGGTGTGTGGGAGAGGGCGCTCCGACATGGGAGAGTTTAGGCCCTAAAATGATTGAACTCGACATTGAGACCGGAGGGCTGCAGGGTCCCCAAGTGGAAAATGAGGTTTTTTTAATAGAATCCCTACAGTGTGGAAACAGGCCCTTCGGCCCAACAAGTCCACACCGAGCCTCAGAGCACCCACCCAGACCCATCCCCCTGTAACCCACCTAATCTACACATCCCTGAACACTATGGGCAATTTAGCATGGCCAATTTACCTAACCTGCACATCTTTGGACTGTGCGAGGAAACCAGAGCACCTGAAAGAAACCCATGCAGACACGGGGAAAATGTGCAAACTCCACACAGACAGTCGCCCTAGGGGGAATCGAATCCGGGTCCCTGGTGCTGTGAGACAACAGTGCTAACCACTGAGCCACCATGCCTTGTTCTTCCAGCTTGTGTTGAGCTTTGCTGGAACACTGCAGCAAGCCAGAGACAGAGATGTTGGCCAGGGAACAGGGTGGTGCGTTAAAGTGGCAGGCGACAGGTAGCTCAGGGTCTTTTTTGCGAGCAGAACGTAGATGTTCTGTGAAGCAGTCACCCAGTGTACTCTTCATTTCCCCATTGTAGAGACCACATTGTGAGCAGTGAATGCAGTAGACTAGATTCTGGGAAGTGCAGGTAAAGTGCTGCTTCACCTGGAAGGTATATTTGGGCCCTTGGATACGGAGGAGGGAGGAGGTAAATGGGCAGGTGTTACACCTTTGCCAGATACAGAGGAAGGTGCTGTGGGGCTGTGGGAGGGGTGTTGGGAGTGAAGGAAGAGTGAACCAGGGTGTCCAGGAGGGAATGGTCCCTGCGGAAGGTGGACAAGTGAGGGGAGGGGAATATGTGTCCGGTGAAGGCATCTTGCTGGAGGTGGCGGAAATGGTGGCTGATGATCTTCTGCACGTGGATGCTGGTGGGATGGTAGGTAAAGAAAAGGGAACCCTATCACTGTTGCGGAAGGGAAGAGAGGGGGTGAGGGTGGAAGCTTGGGAGATGGATGGGATCTGGTTGAGGGCCATGTTGACAACAGTGCTAGGGAATCCTCAATTGAGGAAGAAGGTGGACGTTTTGGAGGCTCCCTTGTCAAAGTTGGCCTCATTGGAACATATGCGATGGAGACAGAGGAACTGGGAGAATGGAATGGAGTCTTTCGCAGGAAGCAGGGTGCAAGGATGTATAGTCCAGGTAGCTGTGGGAGTTGGTGTTATAGTAGATATTAGTGGCCAGTCTATTCCCAGAAATTTGCAGAAATGGTGAGGAAGGGAAGGAAGGAGTCAGCGATTGATCAGGTGAAAGTGAGGGCAGGGTGGAAATTGGAAGCAAAATCAATGAACTTTTCCCAATCCAGATGAGAGAGTGAAGCAGTACCGATGATATCATCGATGTATTGGAGAAACAGTTGTGGGTGGGGGCTGAAATAGGATTGGAACAAGGAATGTTCCACGTACTCCATGAAGAGACAGGCATAATTAGGGCCCATGCGGGTACAAATGGCCACCTCTCTGACCTGAAGAAAATGAGAGAAGTTGAAAGAGAAGCTGTTGAGGATGAGGACGAGCTCAGCCAAGCGGAGGAGGGTAGTGGTGGGTGGGGATGGTTGGGGCCTTTGCTCCAGGAAGAAGCAGAGAGCCCTAAGACCATCCTGGCAGGGGATGGATGTGTAAAGGGATTGCACGTCCATGGTAAAGAGGAGGCAGCTGGAGACTGCAAACTGGAAATTCCAAAACTGGTGTAAAGCATCAGAGGAATCACAGATGTAAATGGGCGGGGACTGGACCAGGAGAGAAAAGACTGAATCAAGGTAGGAAGAGATGAATTCTGTGGGGCAGGAACAGGCTGAAACAATGGGTGTGGCCGGGCAGTCCTATTTGTGGATTTTTGGAAGGAGGTAGAAGCGAGCCGTGTGGGGCTGGGGGACTATCAGCTTAGAGGCAGTTGGGGGGAGATCATCAGATGAAATGAGGTCAGTTACTGTAGTTGATACAATGGCCTGGTATGACATGGTGGGGTCATGGTCCAGGGGAGATAGGAAGAGGTATCTGAGAGTTGGCGCTCAGCATCTGCAATGTAGAGGTCAGTACGCCAGCCTACAACAGCACCACTCTTATCGGCAGGCTTAATGACAAAGTCAGGATTAGATCTGAGTGCACAGAGTGCAGTCAGTTTGGAGAGAGAGAGGTTGAATTGAGTGAGGGGGGACAGAGAAACTGAGGCAACCAATGTCACATTGACAGATCGAGTGCAGGGAAAAGGCCAAAGGGAGGGGTCCAGGTGGAGGGAGAATGTTGGAGCTGGGCGAAAGGGTCTGTGGGACGAGAGAAGACTCTTGCCCAAAGAAATGGGCACGGAGGCAAAGACCACAGAAGAGTTCGACATCATGTCAGGCCTGAAATTCATTAATGTGGGGAAGCAAAGGGATAAAGCTGAGACCTTTGTTGAGTATGGAACATTCAGCATTGGAAAGCAGAAGGTTAGGAGGGATGGTGAATACCCGACAGGAGATAGGGTTGGGTGAGGGGATGGAGTCAGAGGGAAGGGGCAGGGAGGAAGGTTCGAGAAAGCCACGGGTATCTGAGTTGTTACATCTTGTGGGCCTTGATGCCTG